CTGCTGTTTGATGTCTGCCATTTTTCTTTTTTTTCACTCGCTCATAGCCTCGCAACCCTGTATCGCAGATGCCTTGGACACACACGTAGACAACCACAAATAACAACCAAACTCACGTGAGAAGTACATGTAGGATTACACTTGCGTGTAAAAATTTTATTAAAATCGGTTAAATTTAATATACCGGAATCGTCCCTTAATATGCCACCCTTAGAGGTAAAATATTTTCTTCAAATTTGAATGGGGCTACTGCTAGGGTACACTTTCCAACAAAAAAAAAATCATTCAAATCGGTCTACACATCGCACCCCTGATGGAACAATGGCATAAGTGGAGTTACGTCAAAAATGTTAATTGCTCCATTAGATACCGAAAAATATAATCCACATCCTCTCCAAGTCTTGTTATATTTTTCTGTACCTAATGGAGCAATAAACATTTTTGACGTAACTCCACTTATGCCATTCTTCCATGACGGGTCGAATGTCGAAGTAATCGCGTAATATACACACGCAAAAAAATACAGTCGAATTAACATTGACTTACAATTATATGGACGTCGGGTCCGCGCTAAAAAGTGTCCGCACTTGTAAGGCGCTAAAATCGTATACAGAGCGCGACACTCCGCTTTAGTTTTATTTGTAAGTCAATGCGAATTAAGAACCTTTTCATTTTTTGAACACGCTTAAACAAGAGGTATATTCTTTTAGTTTCTTTGTGGTGTAGTAGCCATAGCTTTCGGACGATTGAGCAGCACGTGGTTTTCTGTTTAAAAGTTGTTATTAACGGTAGAAACCATTTTCAAAATCTCCAATTCGCATTACTTTGAGCAAAACTGTGTGGGAGCATTTAAAATTATTTGTATACGTCACCTCATTCCACGCAACGGTGCAAGCCGTGTACATTATCTTAAGCAGTTAGTTTGTATATTTTTACGAACTACAATGTATGAGGGCCTTATAAAAAAAAGAAACCACATATTTTTTCTTTAAGCAGCTGCCTAAAAAACAGGCCAAGGACAATAATATGAGGAGGTCGAACACATTTTGGCGAACAGATGTTCGTGTTTTTGTACAAATATTATAACCAAATTGATACTTTTCATTTCACAATTTGAGCTGGTTCTAAACGAGCATTAAATAACTTTTTCATTAGAAGAAATTTGCGCGCAAAAACGTTTTTTGGAAGCGTGGAAAAGATTTTTGAAATTCGAACTTGACGATGGACTGTGGTGCACCGAACTTTTTCTTTCGATGAAAAAAAAAGATAATGGCACATTCAACTACCCGATTTGTTGTACATAACTTACATTTATGTAATATAAATCCGTTGGTATATTTTATTCTTATTATTGTTGACATTAAATTGCCAATGATAACTAATTATGTTTATTAAAGTATTTTAATTCGTCGAAGGACTAAAATAATTTCAATAATCACATAAAATAAAAGAACAAGCAAGAACAAAACTTGAAGAGGTGTAAATTCAGAACGCATTCGATGATAAAATTTTTCTTTTAATTAAAAAACAGGTCAACAGTTTTTCTTTCATTTATCATTTTCCTCGGTAAAGTGAGGTGAAAAGTTGTGTGTTGCGCTCGGCAACAAGTTGTTTTGCGTCTCGTGCCTTGAAATCTTCGCTACGGTCAGGAAATCTATTTTTGAATCTTAGCTTCTTCATCTTTCTTCTTTTACTCAGGTTTCAATACAAGCACTCGTGTCAAACAACAACTTCACAGCCTTGCATAACAAAAAACCACTAGACTTGACCACTAGACTTGATAATCATAAAAAAATTGGATGCTAGAATATCAAATATTTTAAATTATAAACGGGTAGTTTTAGACCCCGAAATGGGGACCTAGGAATTTAATATTGACATTATTATTCATGTTATTAATAGATGTTAGAATTATTTCAAAAAAACCAACATGGCGAACTTCAAAATATGATTGATCAGACTTTAGCTCTCTATGATTTACACGAGCAAATTAAATTCGGTTAAGTAGTCAAGTTATGGAATTACGTTAACAAACATAATACACAAACACATAAGCGTGGCGGCCCCCATTAACAAGGTTTTAATGGAGTAAAAACATGGGCTAAGTGAAAACGCGTAACTTAGTCTCATTATTGTATAGTAATGAGGTCTAATCGCCGCTAAATGCGAATCTAATAGTATGTAGGATAGTAAGTAGGCTGCGCATACGCAGGCACCATAACCGCAGTTATAAGCGTGACGAGTTTTTTTTTCGACGAATTTCTAAGCATTGTCTATATTTACATAAAAATCGAACATAGTAAGCTAGGAGATTTAAGCACCGTAACAATTCAATTTTACTTTACGTATTCTTTAATGTTCTTACCAATATAAGCTTTTTAACAACCAATAATTAAGAAATAATTGTATCATACAGACATACATTAATAAGTTCTAAACATTTTAGCTGTCAACAGTACTTGATTCAAATGAACTCGTTTCTAACATGACATATTGATGTAGAATTTATTTGAATCGGATGCAAACAAAACTGAGGCAAATGAAACCGAGGGCATAACAAACGTCTCTGCCTATCATAGTGGGAGACAGGATTATTATTCATTTATTTAGAAAAGTGTACCAACAGCATAAACATAGTTTGGTACAAAAAGTTTATGGTAAGAGGAATTGTTCTTATAGATATACCTATTACTGGTACACACAACTATGTACAGAAGTAAATGGGCTTAGCTAAACTGAAGAAGAAAAAATATTATAAAATATATGAAAACGAAACAAAAGATCGTCCCTTTTTTTAAACAAAACTAAAATAAATATGAAAACTTTAAAACACGTACAGACCTAACAAATGCGGAATCACAAATTAAGATGTGGCTTCAAAGTATTGTCAACAGTTTTGTTTTAAACATTTTTAAGGTATCGTTGAAGGTTTGGTGGTATACATATCGTTTTTCGACTAAGCAGCACGGAGACGTCAAAACAAGGCACTAATTTGAAAAAAGGATTACGAGTAGTTCAATCGTCTGTTGATTTCGATTAAATTTTCTGATATATGTGGCCCGCGATTTACATGAACGTCGTTATCATAAATCAACCTTTTTAGTGTTCCTCGAAATATGTCCATGCACCGTTTTGGTAGGTAATGGCCCAAAATCCATTCGAAAGAAATACAGTGAACACTACCTCCAACCGAAATTACTAGTAATTACTGGAACCAGTCCATTGTGCTATCTGTTACGTACATTACTGCATTGGCAAATTGTAAAGCACAAATAGTGATTTAATTCACAAGTATCGTTATACAGGTCGCATGATTACTGGTTTTGGATAAAATTATTAGTTGCAAGTAGGTCGGTATTTATTTTGGTATTTGGGAAATTACTTGAAACTAATTTGTATATTTATTAGGAGTATATTGTATAACTTGAGTTCTTTATGTCTTTGAAATGGATTATTTCAGGTTAGTTTTCTCTACCTAATTTCAGTGGCAATTTTATATGTATAGGTACATAAACATCGTGGTCAAGATAACAAAGTAATATAGTGAGTACGAACATGTTTCGCCAAATATAAGATAGGCAAGCAAAAAATTGGTCGTGACATGGTCTAATTAAATTATTTAATCAGTATTACATTAATAATATGCATATTAATAATAATAGTCACAGGTACTGAAAATAATTTAAAATAATTTCGAAGTTGTCTCAATATTTTTAGTTAACAAATGTAAATTATTTTTTACAAAAATGCTGGCCTCATAAATAGCAGGCAGGGGTAACAAATCAAGATCCTATTATCGTGAAATATTAAATGATATTTCAGGTTACTATACTCGTAAATTAAATTACACCCATAATAATATTCTAGAATAATTTAATAATAAAAATTGCCACCGAAATTAGGTAGAGAAAACTAATCTGAAAATTACCCAAATATTCTTCATCTAAGGCTCAATTTATTTTTCTAGGTCATATGTAATTTCTACGATACACAATTGAGAAAAAGTTTATTAAGCTATGCACATTGACTTACAAATGCTATGTACAATTTCGTTACAAAATTTTGCTTCCATTCCATTCCGCGGCAATGTAAATTGAGTATAATGTTATACTTGCATGAGTCTCCGAGAGAAGAAATATTGCCTTAATATTAGACATTTTCGTTACAGAACGGGGTCGGTCGCGTTTATGTAAGAACAGAATATTTGTTAAATTTTTTTTTTAATGAAATTATAACAACACGAAAACAATAGGCAAAGACACTTTGGTCAAGTTCATATTGCAGGGTGACGGGTGCAGTGGCAGTGCCTCTTAGGTCTTTGCGATTTAAAGCTCCGAGTGGCACTGCAATTGTTATACAAAGCGTATTGCTTATTGCGAGGCACATGACTTGTTCGTTCCGTCCGTAAAATTTTAAATCAAAATAACAAGGAGACCAAATGTATTAGTAACGCCATCTACAATTTTCTATTGTTAACTATAACAATAACAAACACAACCACGTGCGTTACTTCAACATGTTTCCAACAGATGGCGCTGTTAAACTAGTTTTAAAACGTCGAACATGGTCAAAGTCAAATAATCATTTATTCCATAGGTAAAATTTTTACACTTAAAAACGTTTTTTTTAACTACTGCTCGTTCACTACGCCTGACCTCCCTGTGAAGAACGAGCAAGAAACTCTACTTAAATGCTATGGAATACACTTTGAATTATAATTGTGTGGAATCTAGACTCATGTTGTCCTTCCATACATCTTTTTTTAACACATACTTTTCAATTTTGTGATATGACGTTTCAATTAAAATACTTCAAATGTAAGTTTTAAAATTAGCAAATATAAATCTTTATAGATGCTCCGGAATCTTATTGTAAAATTGGCATAAGTTTTCTTACACTTGAGAATTTTCCGTTGCCCTTTAGACGTATTTACTCCAGATGGCTGATGAATTCAGAATATGCTAAGCAAAATTACAAATGCAATCTACAAAATAACTAACCTGAGTAGACAAGTTAGCTGCACGTCGTTTTGGTACCTCGCCAAGGCGGCACTACCTTCCACCCGGACCGCGTTGACCTTGTCCCGCAGCGCACCGCCGCAACCGCCGCCGCGCTCGCGCAGAATCGACATTATGTTCGGCTGGCGGAGGAATGCCACTACCTGCAAGAAAAATGTAGGGGTTACACATGACTTTAGTTAACATATGAAGACAATGAACACAAAAAAAAAAGTTTTTCGGATTTATGTGCGAAATTTAATTAGAAATTTACCATGAGCTTTTCTGTGAACGAAAACATCTTAATGAAACACCCTCGGAACTCGTGTGAAGTACCCTACCCGCATCAGTGCAGCGTGGTGGACTACGACCAAAACCCTCTCCGGAGAAGATACCTGAGCCCAGCGGGAGGTTGAGGTTGAAAAAAAATGCGACTCTCAAATTGCTCTTCGGCAATCTCCATCTTCATGATCGGAGTCTACAGAGTTTGAACTGCGAAATGTAATGATATCGTACTGCTATTACAATAGTGTCATAACTGAAAATATGTGAAATTCAAGATTATACCATTGTTGAACGTAAAATTTGATTATATTGACGTGTACGTCAATTAAACCGTCGTCGTTAGAATATTGTAAAAAACTACTAAAAGATATCTACTAAACTACTTAACTCAAAATGAACACTTTATGTGAGCTAGTTCTAGCCAAATAGTTCTTATTGAAAAATATGAAATTATCTTTTATCTTTTTTTAATTTTATTTTTAAATATGTAGGCAAGTAGGAAATTACCTATACATAAATTTACACAGATCTTTCACGGGAAGCGAGTAATTCGTTTTTCGGTGATTTCGAGAAAATACACTTTTTGAGTTATTACACTATTGTATTAAAGGTGCGAATTATGTAACACGTTTTGCAATTCGAGGCATCAGAGAGAGAGAGCTTTAGAAACTGATTTTATTATATATTAAGTCTATTTACACAATTCTCTTCATTTTTTACTTAGTAGTATTAAAATGGAGAGTAGGTTTAAAAATAATAGAAAAGTTTTAATCATCACCGAACTCCTTTATACCTACACTACACGATGCTATAAATTGTACAAACCTTGTCATTGTATGCAACAGGTATTTCAGGTTGTGAGTCTTGTATGTGCGTATCAAGAGTCGTCAACGGCGGTCGCGGCGGCGGCGTCGGCGCCTGCGCACACAAACATGAATCTGTTGTAATTTTAATTAAAAGTGATTTTATTTCATTTCAAAAATTACAATGCAGCTTGGCAGTAATTGAAGTAAAGAAAAAAATATCGTCGCCTACTTTCTCAAACTCGTATCTTAAAGCATAGAGTTACTGGAATGAAGAAAATGGATTGTATATACAAATTTTGCAGGCCGATTCACACACTAGCTTTTACCTATTCTTTTTTTATTACCAAATTAACACCCTTGATGAGAAATTAAAAATAAATAGAAAGTTTTGCCATCTCGTGAATAATAACTGTTCAAAGATACGAGTTTTGAGAAAGTAAGACATCGATATGATATGTATAAAATTATTCTATTTATAATACTTATAAGAGTAAATAAATAAACATTACTGAAACAAAACATTGAAAAGATCAGACAGGAAAAAAATAAAACTACAAGAACCATAGACAAAACAAAAATAAGATCCATTACACAGATACTTAGGCAATTTTTACAATACACTTATGGATGAAGGTACGAAAAATAAAGACGAGCTTTCCCAAGATGTGACGTGCATAAAATCAATGATGAAAACCATAAGTATAAGTCGCGGCAAACAAGTAGATGAATGAAGTGCACAACAAGCTTTGGAGTCTGGATCGCTCGTATCATAAGCAGCATAAAGTTGAATTTAAATTTTACATGTGAAACTTGACACTGTACCTCTACCATGACGGCTCGTTTACATTGATACAGTGATTGGCGCCTGTACCACGAGCATGCCAGCACTGCCAAAGCATTGGCATTTTGAAGATACGTTCATGCTAATACAGCACTGGCCTGTCAGTGTGTATAGAAAATATTTTCTTGTATGATCTTTATGTTATTGTTATAATTGAATTCTGCGTTACAGCTTAATGGGTGATGATTCTGATGATGGATGTAGTGCGGGGTGTAGTGGCAACACACTACCTAACTATTGTATGCTAAGGTGACGGAAGTACGATTAATGTCGTATGATTTTCGATGCCTTTTAAATTTTGTATCCAAGGGTTGCCGGTAGGTCCAGCTCTGTTATCTATCAGTATTCCGAAACGACATTTTCCAGAAATAACGTTTGGTCGAAATTTCATGACCTCGGAAGTAATTTTGAGAGGAAAATGTTTTTTTCTTTTAAACCTAACTTAACCTAATCCAACCAAACCGAATCGTGCATTTGCGATAAACATTCAACATATCCCGAAAGAACAACTGTTTCGTTATAATTCGGTTTTCGGTGTAATGAAAATTCAAACTTTATTTCGGACTTAAAATTTTCGATTTGTGATAGGTTACCGTCCAGCTCAGTTACTCTCCGACAGGCTCCTATTATTATTATAAAATGTATGTGTAGTGTGGACAAGGAATAAATTATTTCTATGAAAAATTTGCTATGTCAATATTTTACGCAACTATAGGCATTAAGGCTGCGATTCCACCAGAGGTGTGTGAGGTAGCTATGTGGTGTGCGAGGGAAAATCGACCAAAACAATTACTTAACTAAGCGAGGCTAAGAAAATGAAATAAAGTGGATTTTTTTCTCACACACCGCATGGATACCCCGCACATCTCTGGTGGAACCGCAGCCTTACACTCATAGAGAGGTACAAGAAAAGTGCAAATACGACTTAGCGCTCGATAGTACCTCACTTGAGTGAGTGATTGACTTTTGCCGCGACCTATACAAGCGTAATAAAGAAAATGGACTGAAACGGAGTTACCTTTCAAATTTTGCCACCACAAGCACATATTCACACACAAGATCAAGCTTCAAACCAAACTCAAACAGCAAAAGACAAGGCCAACAAATAGAGCAACATAAAACAGCACAACTCCAAAAACAAGACGGATCTTGATCACGATTGACAGCAAATCGAGTGGGCGTAATACGTTCATAAACAAAACGCATTTCGCACTCGCCTCTTGTTCAATACAGTCAAGATATTAACGGCGATTGCTAATTGACGGGAATGCTTGTAATGTATAACGCATGCACTTTCGAACCCTAGAAATAAAATTGAAACAAATTAAAAATTACTAACAAATCAAGGCAACGACCAGTTATAGTTGCCACGAGTTACTTAATATAATATAATTTATCTGGTATTTATAGTACAGTTTTCCTTTTTTAAATACCAGCTGTTATATGTATTATTTATGTTGAGCATTGGCTATAGGGCCATCAGCTTATACAGGTAACAAATAATTAAGAAACTCACTTTTATTATTATTTAAATTAAAAATTAATTTGGGTAAAAATCGTAATTACAAAATCTCGCTATTTTTGTATATGCCTGATATGTGGGACTAGCACGACAGGGCGCGACATGCGCGAGGTTGCTATGCTAGAATATAGTACGTCGCACCTTCTTTAGCCCTATTGATGCTTTTTATACTTCCCTATACTACGCATGTTGTATTTTTATTATGGCAAAAAAATATTATTACTGCTTTTTTTTTAAAATTAATTTCGTGACCTTGGATTCAAGTGATTCGGTTAATATTTTAGAGATAATAAACTTAGTAGCGAGTTCTTAGGTTTTCGCGATTGTTGCACATAGGAAATGATCAAGCATACAGTAGTAGAACAAATTTTGGTTTACGATGAATTTTAATACCCTGATTTCGAACGGACACTTAACGAATTTTCTTCTGTGACAACACTGATGTCACTGACAAGTATCAACTTTTGAATGACAAAATGTTTCATAACCGAATATGTTTTATCGCTGACTACAGACTTGCGCGATTTTTTGACGATCGACATGTGTGATTAAACGCAACAACAGACCATCATCATCGTCATCTTTGCTGATCAACATGTGTTGTGTGATCCGACAAAATCGAGAAGAAGTGTAAGAATCAGACAATCGGTAAGTATTTTTTAGTAAAAAAAAAAAACCGAGCAAATCTATTAGCACCGTATCGTTGCTTGATTTGTGGGTCGGTTCGTCAACTGAGCTTCTAACACTACACGGCATTCGAGTCAATTAGCAAAAGTTCTAGAAACAATCTTCCACCTGATCAATCAATATAGGCCTGCGGCGTTGCGGCAGTAGAGGCGAGAAGGGACCTGCTTGCGGCGCGCGCGGCAGCCGAGGGTCGATGAACGTCGTTCGTCGCATCACGTGGTCCACGAAGAAACGCTGTACCATTTTAAACCTTATTCAGACACGTTCCAACTACTTTTGAACCTATTGATACTGGTGACTAATTTACAATATTTATTTTTACTATTAAGAGTCTTATACAACCGCAATGGCTTTGCTTGATTCCGCATAACTGTGAGTATTGAATCGATCGCTTTGGAAACAATATGCAGTAATATTGAGGGTATACACAGATTACTGTACAGTGTGAAAACACGATTCTTAAAAAAAATCACGACAGAAAAAAAACAAACTTACCACGAAATTTTACAAGAAAACTGTTTTATTAATTAAATTTTTATTGAATTGATATTCAATTCTTTTTTGTGAAATTACTCCAGTACAAAGACACGACGCAAGCACATAGAAAAATTCGTGAGGTCCGTTGGTTCGTTTAGTTGGTATAGCGTCTGGCACGGTATGCAAGAAGACGTCGGTTCG